GGCGCGCACAGTGCGCGGCGCGCCGTCGTCGCCGCCTCCGAGGATGGATTGTGTGCGCTATTGCCGCCGGTATTACCGGTCTTGCCAAGTCGTCCCGAAGAATGACGTCACGCCTTCCATTGTCCCTGCATCCGTCACCGAGGAGCGGAGTGGAGTGTGGATGCAGGTGCGGCTCTGTCTCTCTCGCGCCGCGACGGGCCTGAGAGTGAGACAGAGAGTGTGGACGGACGAACCGTCGCCATTCCGCGCGGGAAAAGCTCCGCCGGCTCTCCCGACAAGTTTGCCGCCGACGAGTGGAACGAGTGGAACGAGTGGACAGCTTGGCGCGGAGTTTGAGGAATCCGGGGAAAGCATTCAAACGGGTCTGCTCCTCGCTGCGCGCGCTGCGCGGGCCCAGGGAATGCCGCTCTGCTGCGGCGCCCGGCAAGCGCCATTCCGAACATCGATCTGCCTCTCTCGCACGCATCCGCGAGGCTCTGCGAGGCTCCGCGAGTGCGAGAGAGACAGCGATGTTCGAAATGGCTCCGCGCAGGCCTCGGATCGAGGACCTCGCCGGCGGCTGGCCGCGGCTGGCCGGATCGGCCGCGCAAACTCTTTGCCCGGAGTAAAGCCTCGCTCGAGTGAGCCGCTCCTAATTTCTTTTCCACCCATTTTTCCCCGCTCGTTGCACCAGGCTCCGGCAGGCTCCGCGGAGAGGCACTAGACGGGGCAGCGGGGCATTCAGACCGGGGCCCTTGAATGAGATTGTACCTGCAAACAGTCCGCTGAGCCGCGCGTCGGCCGCGCCGCGTGTTCCAGCCAGTCCCAGCACTCGGTCTCTGTCAGACGCTGCAGCGGCGCGCCGCTCGTCGGATGTGCTGTACAGCCGTGCACTGGAACTTCTTCCATTCCCGCAGCAACAGCCCACAACACACTGTACTTCTGCCCCGATTTTTAATAAAGCTGTGTCCGCTTCGCCGTCGCGGTGGCGGGTCATCCTCGACGAGTAGTACCTCTCGGTGGTGACACCACACCGGTTCAATCCACAATGTGGGCGGCAGGGCGTGCGTGGCGTGCGCGGAGGCAGCGCGGCATGTTTGTCTTGGCCTGTTTGCCCCGCTCGTCCGGGCCAACTCCGTGCAACTTAACCTCCACCCTCCGCCGCGCTGCCGCGCCACAATTGCCTCGGCTCGAACAAGGCCTGCCTGCCTGCCTGCGGAGGGATGCTTAGCTGCTTGCTCCAGTTCGGCTTACCCGCTGGCTCTTAACGGTACGGCCAGGCAAACACGCCGGCAGGAAGCGCTGTACAGTGGGCCAGAAGGCCGGTGGAGGCGGACAGAACTCCAGACGCGTTTTGAGTTCCAGAGTCACTAAACAGGCCTCGAACCGAACGGGTGACCCCACCAATGGATTCCTCGTTCGGAGAGCAATCCATTGGTGGGGTCCCACGTTGGTTCGAGTCCCATTTAGCGACTTTGGAGCTCAAAACGAGTTTCGTCCGCCTGCTCGGTCTTCTGGCCCACTGTGCGGTGGAGGAGCAGAGCGATCTCCGAAGTTATGTCGAGAAAAGGCGCGGCCTGAAGAGTGTGGCAGCAGCCCCTAAATCTCGGCAACACTACTTAGTTGATTACTGACGTAAAAAACAGAGAGAGAGAGAGAGAGAGAGAGAGAGAGAGAGAGAGAGAGAGAGAGAGAGAGAGGAGGGGGGGCGTGCCGTGCCGCAGAGGTCAAGGCAGAGGTACTGCCGCGCCTCGGGGTGAAAATCCCTGCCCGAGGCTGCGCGAGGCTGCGTGAGGCTCGAGGCTGCGGCCCTGCGGGGTGGGGCACTTGGCGACCAGGGAAAGGTGTGTGCGGATTACACCGCGGGGCACTGCCAGGGCACTGCCAGGGCACTGCCGGGGCAGCCAACCTGGAAGAGTCAGGGTGCCGGCCGTGCTCCTCGGAATGCAAAACGACCCCCGTGACCCCGCGTGGCGGCCAGCCAGCCATCCCTCGGCCCTGCATCCTTCTCCCCGGCCGTTCGTTTTTCTGCCTCGCCTCCGAGGAGCGCGGCTCGTAACAAACCGACGGCCGCAGTCTCTCTCTCTCTCTCTCTCTCTCTCTCTCTCTCTCTCTCTCCTCTCTTTCTCTCTCTACTCTTCTTCTCTCTCTCTCTCTTCTCTCTCTTCTCCACCTACCTGATGGCTAATGTCGGTCTTGACGTCGAAAGAGACGCGCTCGGAACGGAAAGAATGCCTGCGACAGGCCAGCGCTGCCCCCCCCCCAATTATTGTAACACGATGTGTACAACTTAATTATCCTACAATTACCCGAAATTGCGGCGCGGAGCCGCGCGAGCCGCGTTCAAAGGCCCTTTTTGCATTAGCATGCCAATTGCTCGTTTTGCGCTACAAACGCTCCCCCCCCCTCAGGAAGTGCGAATGAGGACGGAAAGGACGGGGAGGAAGGCGGTGCAGGGAAAAACAGGGCAAACAGGGAAAGGGTCATGGCAGGGAAGACTCAAGTGCTTTAAGCCCCCCCTGCCCACCCCCTCCACTTTCGCGGGGCGCGGCTCGACACGGCCAGGTCGGTAAACCTCCTCACGCAATCAATCCTACTTCATAGGACGCCGCGACGCCAGAGACGAGGCTCGGTGGAGGGGGATGAGAAATGAAATCCCGCGCCCGATTCCGCAGCGCGTCGCGCGCGTCGCGCCAGGGCTCAACGACCAACTCGATCAAAGCACCGCGTGCGAGAAAAAATAAATAAAAAAGGAGAAAAAACCACCCTCTACCTCAAAAAAAGGGTGCCGTACCTGTACGACGTCGTGCTCGCGTGTCAGACAACGCCCCGAAACTCGCAAGGCGGCGCGACGTGTCACTCGTGCATCAACACGCCTCGCCGCCCCCGCCGCCTCTACGGTGCAGCGGCACGACACGCCGAAGAGTCGCTATTAAGCGGCATCCGGTCGAGGGCTAAACTTTGTTGCGAGCGCCCCTGCTGCAGCCGCCACCGCGCCTCCCACAAGCAGTGCAGTATTGAGATATCGAGTCATGACTGATGCTACACAAAGTTAACCAAGTTGGTGGCGGTCGAGGTGTGCCTCCCCCTCCCCCTTTTCTGCCACCCCAACCGCTTCCAATGCCGTGGAGCGCCGCGCCGCAGCCATCGGAAAAACTTTGTGACCGCGCGTGCACACGTGTGTGCGTGGCACTGCGTCGCTCTGTCTCTCTCGCACCCCCACGGCCCGACGGGACGCCCCGTGGGTGCGAGAGAGACAGAGCGACACTGTTCGGAGCGAGCCTGCTGCGACGCGGGGAGATGTAAATATAGATATAATCGCGGGCAAAGTGACACCCGCTGCTGGGAGACGGGCTGCAGCGTCGCGGTCAGGAAGAACGGGGAGACGACGACGTTGGGGGTCAACTCCTTGGACAAGGGAAGAATTAAATTAAAAAAAAAAAACGAAAAAATAAACAAGTGCCTTATTAAGTACTAAGTGACGTTCCGTCTCAGTCCCAACACAGCAACAAAAACAGTTTTTTTTTTAAAAATTAAAAAATAGGTTGCCCCTTTTCCTCGACACTTCTTCACACTAATCAAATTCTTTTCGTTCCTTATCAGGTTCCGCGCGGCCTTTTACACGGGTCAAACGGAATCACAGATCCAGTGGGAGGGTTGGCCCAGAAGGGCGCGCGTGAAGGGGTTAATGTGTAAGTACAAGCCGAGCCAGCGGGCCGGCTAACAGGGCAGGGCGGGGCGGGGCGCGTTGGCCACAATCTAGCACCGAGGCACGACAACCAATAATTTAAGCGGCGCCCAAATTGGGGTGGGCACTTTGAGTGCTGATCCAGGAGGCGGGGGAGCGGCAAGGTGGAGGGGGAGCGGACCTGGCGGACCTGGCGGGCCCGCCAGGACGGTGGCCTACCTTGCGCGGGCTGGATCGGGCGGACTAGGGCGGCCCGGCCGGGCCCGGCCCAACCTTGCGGCTTTGGCCCACGAATTAGGATCCCGGCAAGCCGAGCCAGGCGAGGGTGGCGCGTCGCAGACGCCGTGTAGCCGTGTAGCTCGTGTAGCGGCCAGCGCGCTGGAGTGGCGCGCGGTTCAAAGACCGCTCCAATCCAGCGGGATTAAGCGCGGGGCACCCGGACGCCGCGCCGGACACGCCGGAAATCTCCCCGGCAACTGCAAGGGTGCAAGGGCGCCCCCGGCCTGCCCCCGGCACCGGCCCTCTGCCCCTCCGGTCCCCCGGGCCCCGGCACCACGGAGCACGACGGCTAATACCACGGGTGGTTGTACTTTTCCCCCAGCTGCACACAGTGCGGTGGCGTCCGCGCTGAGCGCCGCCGGCTGCCTGCCTGCCTGCCTGCCTGGCTGTTCCGGCGGCGAAAATGAGTGGTTTATGGAAAGGAACCGGACGCGGCGCCACCGCCAGCCACGCCAGCCGAGCCGGGCTGCGTGAGCCGACCCGGCACGAAAGGGGTGCCGGAGTGGATCACGACACGCAGGGACCGCGCCGGACCGCCGGAACCGGCACCGGAACCGGCCGGCGTCAAGGCGGTTCACACTTCGGAACCGGACCGAAACCTCAGCGGTTTTCACAAACGCCACGCGGTGTGTGACCCGTCGCGCTCTGCCCCCTCTTGGTGGCGAACAGACACCCCCTTCCCCCACCGCGCGCGGATAAGACCGAATCAGCGAAAGCGCGCGCAGACCGCGAGGATAGGAAAAATGGAGAGAAAGGCGCCGCCGCGGGAAAGTAGTGGTAGTTGTGATCACGCGCGGCATTTCTCGTCCTTGGCGCCACGTTACCGGAAATGACGCTTCCGGTCGGGTTGGCGAGGCGGAGCGAGGCGCGCCGAGAAGGCGTGCGTTTCAGACACGCTGCAGCCACGACCCGGTTTCACCATGGTTCTACCATGATTTAACCAAGGTTTCACCAAGCATCACCAGGGTTTCACCAGGGCTTCACCAGGGTCCCCCATGTGTTCTTCCAGGGTTCAGGCGTTCCACTACACGTCGGCAACAGTGCAGCAGCTCACCAGTGACGGGCGAGATGCCGCTCAGCAGGGCGTCCTCGATGATGACGGGGTCCGAGGAGCCCTTAGTGTTGACGGCGAACACCCTGGCCTGGTACATGACGCCCGGCGCCGGCACCCAGGTCAGCTCGAAGACGGGGGGTCCCTTGGCCAGCGTCAGGTTGTGCCTGCGGAGACGACGAGGGTTGTGTCAGACGCGGGGGAAATGTGAGGAGTTTCTCTGATTTAACAAGGCGGTTGGTACTCACCGCACTTGCATGCCGGGCAGCTCCACCATCTGCAGCAGGAACCACTGCGGCAGGCCGCCGTCGAAGCCCTCCACGCACTCGATGCGGAGGTAGCCGGCGCCCGTCATGTTGGCCAGCGTGCAGTTGGCGGGGCTGAAGGGCTTGACGGCGGCGGCGATCTGGAAGACGCAGGGCCGCGTCTGGCGGCCCACCGAGTTGGTGCCGTAGCAGGCCAGCGTGCCGTAGTCCTGGTCCAGCGTGGGCGTGTAGTACAGCAGGGCCCCGCTGGAGTGCGCGCCCTGCGCCCCGGCCGGGCCCTGCGACACGCGCGACGCCACGTCCTGCAGCGTGCCCGAGTGGTTGAAGGTCCAGTGCACCGACACCTGCTCCGGGTTGGCGTCCAGGTCGCAGTGCAGCGCGATGCGCTCGTTCTTCACGGCGCCCAGCAGCTGGTCCCGGTCCTCGCGGCAGCGCGGCGCGTCTGCGAACAAAGGGGCAGTCGTTATTCGCAGTCACGAGGCTGTGGTGGCAGCCACAGTGGGCCAGAGGTCCGGTGGAGGCGGCCAAAACTCTAGGCGGGGTTGGAGCTCCAGAGTCGCTAAAAGGGACTCGAACCGAACGTGCGTGACCCCACCAATGGATTCCTTGTTCGGTGAGCAATTCATTGGTGGGGTCACACGTCCGGTTCGAGTCCTGTTTAGCCACTCTGGTGCTCAAAACGCGCCTAGAGTTTTGGCCGGGCCCACTGTGTGCCAGGTGCACTGCTAGGGACCCAGGGACCTCTCTCGTCACTTCCAAGGGATTGGGGCGCACCTCGGCAGATCGCACGCACAACGAGCACAGCCGAAATGTTTGCACGCACACACACACGCGCGCTCAAACACACACACGCACCTCAACATCCGATAGCGTAGAGCAGAGAACAATTGCAAAGAACAACAATGGGGCCCGGGGCAACCCCGGGCGGCCCCGGGCGCCACGTTCCCTTTTCCCAGTGGCGCGGCCGCGGCGCGTGGAAGCCATTTTTTGTGGTGTGCGTTAGGCGCGCAGTCCGCTCCGCAGTCTCTCTAGATTGAGATGACGCGGCGCGCACAAAGCGAAGATGCCTCTCTCCCCCTGGAGAGAGGCTGGCGCGCTGCAGTGTAGGCGCGAGCGGGAAACGGAGCCAAGCCAGCCAGGCCGCGGACCGCCGCGGACCGCCCGGCATTCATAGCGCGGTCATTTGTAGCCAAACTCCTTTTGTGCTCCGCTGCTCCGCTGCTCGGCTGGGCGTGCGTGGGCAGCCCGGCCTACAGGCCCCACAGGCCCGCAGCGCCGGAAAGGGAAAACAACAACAAAACAAAAACAAACAAAAGAAACAAAAGGGCGCAAGTCATTGCGCGGAAGGCGAGGGGGCCCCGCGACAACGCCCCCGGAACACCTTCACGGAGTCATTCTCTCGGCGCGGCGCGGCGCGCACCGGGGCGAGTTTGTTGTTCCGTCATCCCGCTCGCAACGCCACTTTCGTTATTATTTTTCGCCCCATCGTGAAAGTGTGGAGAGCTAATTTTACTTCCAGGTTTCGGTTATCTCGGACTTTCAAAGTCCGTTTCTGTAGTGACAATTCGCCTCGCGAGGAACGGACACCGAAACGAGCCCAACGTGGGAAAAGCAGAATGCGTTGCCGCACCGCGCTAGACTCGCCCGCCTGGCCAAGTTTGGTCCCTGTTACGTCATTAGTGGATTTGGGGGAGGGACGGGGGGCAGGTCTGGCCGGACAGTTTGGCTGATGGCTCTGAATGGAAAGGCAGCCGCCCAAGCGAGCCACTGTTGCAGGGCTTTCGTCTTCCAGCACATTAAGCAGCATCAAAAGCCGCCCCCTTTTTTTAAGCGGTTAGTTCTTGGGCGGGGCGGGGTGGGGTGGGGTGGGGCGGGGTGGGGCGGGGTGGGGCGGGCACGCGACGTCACGAGCAGCGTTGCCTTTCTACGTCCATTACCCTCAAGCAGCTGCCTGGCTGCCCGGCTGTCTGCCTGCCGCGAGTGCCCCTCCCCCCCTTCATCCCCACACGTCAGTGTGGTGGCGGCGCGCCGCGGCGTGGCGTAGGCACTTCCTCACAATCAGAAAACGAGCTTCCTTCTTTCGCTCTGGCGACGACGACGCCGGAGAGACGCCTTCAAGTCTTGGAGGGACAAATCGGCGCAGTGAGGCTACACGGCAAACCACTTTACCCGGCTCGCCGCGCCGCCGCGCCCTTAATCATATCGGCATGCACGACAAGCGGGCCGTGTCCCCGCCCAGGGCGGCCGCCGAGCACGCCGTCGAGCACGCGGAGCACGGCGCCGGGGGTGAGCACGAGCACGCCAGCGAACGCGCCCCCGCCCCCCGGAGACACCTCACCAAACAGCGCGCCCCGTCGCTGCTTTCAACACACGCGGCGTCCCCCCCCCCCATTCCATCCCCCTTGAGCAATTGGGGCCTCGGCGTTGTTACGTGATAATAGGCGGCCTTTGACCCGGCCGAAGACACGCCGCCAACATTTATAGGTCGGAAAGGGGGGGGGGGAGGCAGCCACGAGGGCGCGGCGTCGTTCGGGGTCGCGCTGGCGGTGAGGGGTGAGCCGTCTAGGACGCGGCCTTGACAAATCCACTTGCTCCGCGCCGAACCCGAGCATGGGCACGTTTTCCGGGTCGGTCCAACGCACGACGGTAGCAAAGTTTTCTCGTTTGAAGCGGCCAATCCGCCGGTACCGCCACGCCATTGATAAAACATGCAGTCCGAAACCCGAAACACCCGCATCGCTCGCACTAATTTTTGCACTCTCGACTCAAACAACAACCACCCTGCAGTGTTTCCTCGGCGGACTGTCCTGCGGACGCAGAGCGCCGTCTGGCGGCCCGTGTGTGTGGCACACTGTGTGCCCGCGAGGCCGCGACTCCCCGCAAAGACCCTCGCCGTCGGCAGTGTGCAGGCGACGGCCTGGCGACGGCCTGGCGACGCGGGGCGGAGAGGGTAATGTGTAATTAACGTCGTTAACCGTTTACCCGCGGTACACTGTAGCGCACTTTGTCGCGCACTGTGGCGCACACCGTACAAGAAACACCGAGTGGCACGGCGCGGCTCGTCACGGCCAGGGACGCACACCGCGCCACCTAATCGCGCCCAAAGTTTGCACCTATTAAAAAAGCAATTACCGAATTACAGGAAAACTTCACAGGGAGGATTTGGGCCGCCCGGCCTCGCCACTCCCGTTCTGCGGTGTTGGTGAGAGGTTTCTCGCGTGCATTTTCGCTTCGCTTATTCGCCCCGCCCCACCCCGCCCCGCCCCGCCCGACTCTGCTGTCAGCCTCCATTCCAGGGCGCCTGCCCCACCCGCCCGCAAGCCCCTCGGCAAGGTAATCTTTGTACTCTAGTAAGCATCTTCTCTACGCACGCCGCATAGTCTCGAGCTCGGTCTCGAGGCCAGAGAGGAGGGGGTAGACCTAAAAGACGCTCAGGGGCGGGGTGGGCGAATCCCATTTGGGGAGACAGGCCTCCTTCTGAAAGCAAAGGTAAAGTGGCAATTAACGCGGAGGTGTTGCAGGCAGGCGGGTCGCAGGCGGGGCGATGGGTTCCCGAAGGACTCCGTCGGTCGGGATGAGCGCGGTCTGCCAAGACGTGTCTTTGCTTTGGGGGTTTCGGGCAGCACCAGCTAGCGCCCCGCCCACCAGGCCTGGCGGACCACAGTGGGCCAGAAGACCGTGGAGGCGGTCAAAACCCTACACGCATTTTGAGCTCCAGAGTCGCTAAACAGGACTCAAACCGAACGTGTGACCCCACCAATGGATTCCTTGTTCGGAGAGCAATCCATTGGTGGGGTCACACGTTCGGTTCGAGTCCCATTTAGCGACTCTGGAGCTCAAAACGCGTCTAGAGTTTTGGGCACCTCCCCGGTCTTCTGGCCCACTGTGCGGACGGTGGCGCACCGCGGCGGCGGCAGCGCGAGGTACACGTCAACGATCGGCAGCGAAGTCCTATTATAATATCCCAGCCACTCGCCTCCCTAACAGACTTACTTTGCCTCTGCGATTCCCTCGGGGCACAGCCAGGCAGGCACGGCCAGGGGGTGGGGGGGGGGGGGGGGGGGCGACCTGTTGAGCCGTACTGCTCTGCCTGCCTCCGCTTTTTCTCCGTCGAGGTTGTAACCCGAAAGATTCCCGCGGTGGAGCTATGCAGGAGTAGCGCCAAAAAGACCACTGCCAGAGAGCATTGTGGGGATGAGTGGGACTAGACCCCTTTGTTGCGTGCCTGGCTTGGCATGGCTGAGCCGCGCGGCTCGCGGTCACTGTGTCTCTCTCGCACCCCGACGGAGTGCGAGAGAGATGGAAGCACCGTTCGGCCTGCAGGGCTGCCGGGTGGTAGTTGACGTGGAAGGGCGATAACGCGAAGGCGACTCGGACGGCGAAGCGGGCCGGCCCACTTCGTGCACTTGGTGGACGCGAAGCGAAGGTCCGTGGAGGTCATGAGCCCAGCGGCTTGCCTGGGCTTGCCTGGGCTTGCCCCAGCCCAGCCCGTCGGGGGGCTTCACCAACTACACGGCCAGAAAACGCCGACCCGATCCTCCTTGGCGCTCGCAAGGTAAGAGGATTCCCTTGCTTTACAAGCCCCCCGCGCCCGTATACTGTTCCCAGACACGGTGAACACAGGGTGCGCGTTTCGCCGAGAATAAACGCACCTCTGACGTTTTTAGAACGGATAATACCTGGGAAATTAGCGCAGGGCCAGCTTGTTCCGCAGGCAGCCAGTCTGGCAGCCAGTCGTGAATACTGCAGTGGCCTGGGTACACCGTGAGGCCACCCCGGCGCTTCAACAATGGGTCTTATGAACAACTCATTTCTCAGAGGGTCGGACCGTACTTCCTCACAGAGGCACCGCCTTTTCCCGTGACTAAGGAATGTTAGTTACATGGCGATACGCAGGCACCGGCATTATTGATTTTAATCTTAATTAAAGTCTAATTTTAAGGGCCTCATTTTCGTTATACACAGGGTGCCCCTCTCAAGTTAGCTCCCTGTCTCTATCTCTCCCACATCCTTCCTTATCTCCCTTGCGGCCCTCGGCGCGGCACGGCCCGGCCCCGGGTGAACCCCTGGGCCCTACATGCTACCCCTCCTTGCTAGGCTCTGCATGTCTCGAGCAAGCCCCTGCCGGCCCTGCCGGCCCTGCCCCCACCCCGTCCGTTCGTTTTCTCGCAGTCCTAATTGAGGGGTCCTCGTAGACGTGCCTCTGTTGCGAGAGCAACAATGAAGGAGAAGCGGGACCCGAAGCGGACCCGAAGCGGACCCGAAGGGCAGCCGAAGGGGCGTCCGAGAGCGTCGTGCTCAAGTGGGAGGACGATTGCACGCGCAAAGTGCATGTAAAAACGCCGTCCAGAGGGCGCACCAGGCAAATACTGCGTGCCAAGGGAGTTTAAAAAAAAGGACGGCGGAAAAAAAAAAGAAAGCCTGGTTCCGGGGTCTTCTTGGCAGTCTCCAGGGTGCATTCATAGGACGGCAGGCAGGAGCACAGTGCCAGGCAGGCAGGCAGCCAGGCACAGGGGCACATTAAGCCGGGGCCATCACTTCTTTTCTTGGTAGACGCATTAATTATTATTCATACGGGGGAAGGTACGCGTAGTAGAATGCGACCCCGGAGGGCCCGGAGGGGTGGGCAGAGATACACGGGGCGCAAAGAAGGGGGAAAAAGGGCAAATAATACAAATTGCACAAAATGCAAATACTTCGAGAGGAGCGCCCTCGAGATGCAGCTCGCGCTCTCATTAGGGGTCTGTGTGTGTGTGTGTGTGTGTGTGTGTGGTGTGTGTGTTTGGCCGTGCACGTGTCGTTAGGCTTGCGATCTGAGACGCGGCGGGGCTCTTTGTCGTTGCCATTCTCCGTCCTTGGCGCACGTGCCCCGCAGGCAAATGTTTGCTCGCTGTTTCCTGTTTCTTTCTCTCTCTCTCTTTTCCCCCTCGAGCCGCGCCGTTTGTGTGCGCGCGACTTTGTTTGCATCAACGCACATAGGCTTGTCGAGGTGAGAGGGAGGAGGGTTATGTCGGCCGGGCAGATCCCCCCCGCACAGTGGGCCAGAAGACCGGCGGAGGCGGCCAAAGCTCTGGACGCGTTTTGAGCTCCAGAGCAGCTGAATGGGACTCGAAGCAAACGTGTGACCCCACCAATGGATTCCTCGTTCGGAGAGCAATCCATTGGTGGGGTCACACGTTCGGTTCGAGTCCTGTTTAGCGACTCTGGATCTCAAAACGCGTCGAGAGTTTTTGCCGGCTCCAACGGTCATCTGGTCCACTGTCCGCCGTCCGCTGGGGCCAGTGGCGTATCCAGGGTCAGCCAGAGGGAGGGGCAGAGTGAGGCACTCACACATGACGCTGAGCTTGACCACGTTGGAGCCGCTCTTGCCCATGCTGTTGGCGGCGAGGCACGTGTAGCTGCCCGCGGCCGCCCGGTTGATGCGGCGCAGCACCAGACTGCGGTCGCTGAGCACCACGCCGGCCGTCTGGTTGTGGGCGATCTCAGTCCCCTGCAAACAACAACAACAACCCGTCAGCAACGGAAACAGAAGTCCCAGCTACCGACCGTGTGACCCCACCAATGGATTGCTCTCCGAACGAGGAATCCATTGGTGGGGTCACACGCACGGTTCGAGTCCCGTTTAGCGACTCTGGAGCTCAAAACGCGTCTAGAATTGCGGCCACTTCAGGCAAATCGTCGACGACTACTTACGTCGTGGTACCAGACGAGGCGGTACACCTTGGGGTTGGCGCGGACCTCGCACTCGAAGTACACGTCGTCGCCCTCCTTGATCTCGTCGGCCTTGAGGGTGGTCCCCATCTTGATGGAGACGAGCGGCTGGTCTGCAAGCAGAGGGACACAGTGTCAGCACCCATTTGTCCGGCGTGGCGGCGGCGTGGCGTTCGGAGTGCGCTCCTGGAGGACAAGAAGGAGGGGGAGGGCGAGGACGCCGATATCGTGACCCTGCGTGAAGAAGTGCAGACGCGGCATGGGAAAATCCGGCACCGGGGGATAAGAAAGATAAACAGAAAGCAATAAATCGAAAGCACCCCCATCCCATCCCATCCCCGGGCGGCGCGGTGCGGCGCGGTGCGCGGCGCGGTGCGCGGCGCGGGGTCAACCGTCGCCGACGTCGCGGAGTACGACAAGAAGGGGAGCAGGAATGCAGCCGCGGAATGAGAAGGGATGGACGCCGAGATTAAGAACGAGAGAGAGAGAGAGAGAGAGAGAGAGAGAGAGAGAGAGAGAGAGAGAGAGAGAGAGAGAGAGAGAGAGAGAGAGAGAGAGAGAGAGAGGCCCCTGGAGCGCCGCTATCCTTATCGAAGGGCTTCCAGGCCAACGCGCCATCGGCCGCACGGCTCCAGCCACTCCAGTCGCTCCAGCGGCACGCCAGGGAACGGATTCAAGGGCAGTCCGGCGGGCCTAACGCAAAGCTGCCACCACAAAAAGAGCCTTTTTTTTGAAACGCTGTCGTGTTTTCTCCGGCTTAATTTGTTTCCCCTGCCAATTCCCGGGTCGAAGCAGAGTCTCCGGCGGCAACGTCGGCGGGACAGGAGACCGGGCCGCGGAACGGACGCTAACAAAGGGAGGCGGCATGTTCGATATTTGCATATTTACAGCCAATAATGGCGAATTTGGCGGGGGCAGTGTGGCGGGCTGGCCCGGGCGGGCCTTGTGTGGCCTGCACTGCACACAGGCTGGTGCACTCATCGTGTTTGACGGATGCTCGAGCGCGCACAGCATGTGTGGCGTCCACTCCAACTGCATTGCTGCAGCACAGCAACAAGTCGGGCGCGGTGGTCGCCCTCCTTGCAGCGATCAACTCCAGAAATCACTCTCAAGCCCAGCTTTCGCGACGCGACGAATCAACTTCCGCCCGCGCTCCTCTTAGCCCGTAAAACAAGCGGTGACAATGCCGGAATCGGTTAGTAGGTCATAAATATGGACCAGCCGTTTTTCACCGACACTGCTTCCCGACATTCATGGCATTCATTCATGCCCTGTTTTTTTTTTCGGCGCGAAACCCAGTCGCACGGGTTGTGTTGCGTGTGTCTTTTTTTTTTGGCAGAGTAGTATCCGACGCCACGCTTCGCTACCCGCGGCATGTGCTGGCATGGCTGGCGCGGCACAGCGCGGCGCGATCGTGTGCCACTGCACGCCATGCATGCACCAGCTGGAGTGTAACTTGCTGCGTACGCTGAGGAGTTTCCGGCGCACGTTAGAGGGCCAACATCCCTCTCTCCCCCCCCCCTCTCTCTCTCTCTCTCTGGTGCAACAAAGACGGGCTGCTTCGCCGTTATGAATAAACCGGGCACGTCCCCGCACCCTTTCGGCACTGAGTGAGACAGAGCGACATGGTTCGAAAGCGGGGGGCCGTTCGGACGTACCGACGGCGCATCGTCCGTCCGAAGGCATCCAGGACAACGAGTATCAAAGGGAAGGAAGGCGGATAGGATCCGACTGGCAGCCCCCCGGGACTGCCTGTGCGCGGACGGCCGCGGGAACAGCCACCGCGACGGCCACGGACTTGGAGGAGTCGGCAGCATCTCGCGGCTGCGCAGCATCACCGTTTGTCCGGGTATCTCCGCGGCACGCTGACAGCGGCTGTCTCGGTGCGAGCCGTATCTACCGCCAAGAAGACACCGGTTGACACTTCGGCATCGAGTCGAGGCAGTCGCCCGCCATGGCACAACGGACAAAAAACCACCAAAAGCCATTTCCGCGGGTTGGCCGTAGGTTGGCGCCAGCGTGCAGCAAGGAAGGAAACACCTCCTGACAATCAGACCGACAAACAACAACAACAAGACGGCCAACAGCGGAGCGGCCCGCCGACACTTGAAGTGGCGCGGCATTTTAAATCCCCGTTCGCGTGTCTGCGAGGCGAGCTGGCTGGAAAGAGGGGAGGGGAGGGGGGGGGGAAGCGCTGTCAGGTCGGCAGGATTGACGGTCAGTGGGTCACGGAAAGCCGAAAGCCGCGCGCGGCGAAAGGGCGGCGAAGAAAGGAAGCCGAGAAAAAATACTGCGAGTGCGAAGAAAAATAATTCGCCGTGAGGAGGGCCGAGAGGGCCGTGAGGAGGGCCCGAGGCGTCGCGGCGCTGCGGGTCGCGGGGCCACCGCGGCACCACCCTGGATCGGGGGGGGGGGGCTGCAAAACGGTGCGAACGGCGGAGATGAACAAGGTGGAGGGGGGGGGGCCTGTATGTTTGCCCTGGGAGGTTGAAAGCAGAGCAAGTGAGGAAGGGGTGTGGACTGGGCAGGTCCCAAGAGACTTCACCCCCAAGGCGGGGTGGGGCGGGGCGGTCGGCCCCCTTGCCGCGGCAACGGACCTGGCCGGGGCGCACCCGCCGGTTACGGGAGTCGTTTATACTACCTACCTTGCTCCGGCACTCTGTGGGGAGCGAGGGCTAGGCATGTTTTTAAATCAAGTGCCCTTGCCCGTTGCAGTACATTTTTATTTTTATTTTTAGAGGAGAGCTGCGGCGTGCGGGAAGCGGTCATTTTGAGCAAGCGTACTAGTCGCTACAGGACTACTCACATTCCACGTTGAGCAGCAGCTTGTCCTCGATGACGGAGCCGGGGATGGCCGTGTTCTCGGCGCGGCACGTCAGGTACTTGCCGTCGTCGTCGATGGTGGGCGAGAACTTGAGCACGCTCAGCGCTACCCCGTCCGCCTCCGACTGCTGAGATCAGAAAACGACTCTTGTATAGCTAAAACGTTGTTGGTAGCAACAAAAAAAGTATGAAGGGCAACCATCCCCCCCCCTTTCCCCGTCAATTTCCGCAGCAGTTTTGTACGCTCCCCAAACTAACGCACCCACCGGGCCGCCAGCACGGCTCGGCTCCCCTAGCCTGGGGCCACACACGCGCGGCGCGCGCAGGCGCGTGAAGGTGGGGACCGCCCGCAAGGGAGCAATATGATTACGGCCGCTCAATTTGGTCCAAACATTATTTCAGCATCGCACGCACCAACACCAGTCGGCCTTGGGCCCTGCGTGCGTCGCGGTGCGTCGCTATGTGCGTGCACAACCCACCCCCCTACGTCTTCGTCGCGAAACACGACGGCCAGGGAGAAACGCGATGCAAGGCAGCCTGCGCGAGAGCACAGCCACCGCATTCCGTCCCACAATGTAACACAGTTCAATGAACGCGAAAACTGCGCACCGAATTTGGTACCTTGTCCTGGTGCCGCAGCGGGTGCGGCCCCTTCCACCACGACATGACGGCCGAGGGCCGCGAGCCCTGCGACTTGCACTCGATCTCGTAGGTCTTGCCGGCCTCCAGGTGCCGCTCGCGCGTCGTGATGGTCACGGACGTGGGCTTCACTGCAAGTACCAAACAAATTTTCAAAATTTAACGTATTTTTTCAAAAACTAGGTTTAAATTTTGAAATTTTTCAAAAGTTATTTTAAATTTTTTTAAAAAGTTATTTTGAATTTTGAAGCTTTTTAAAACTTTTTTTAAATTTTAAAATTGTTTAAAACCTAATTTTTAATTTCTTTTTAAAGACAAATATTTTTTTTTTCAAAGTGATTTTTTTTAATTTATGGAAATGACTGCTTACGGTTGACGTCGAGCACCACGGCCTTGGCCAGCGGCATGGCGAGGTTGGTGTTGGAGGCCTGGCAGATGAGCCGCGAGTGCAGGTGCGTCCTGCCCACGTTCGGCAGCGTCAGCCGGTTGATGGTGACGCCGTCCTCGCGCGTCTCCACGGACTCGTCCAGGACCATGTTCTCCATGAACCAGACGACGCGCGGACGCGGCCGGCCTGGACACAGCGGGGATCAGCTCCGCAGAACGGGAGGAAAAAGAACAAACAAAGCCAACTTTCAAAAATAAACGGCAACTCACCTCCCTTAACTTCGCACAGAAGAATGACGCTGTCGCCCTCGTTGTAAGGCGCCACTAACTTGGTGGGGTCTTTACTCTCGGAATCAAATATCACAGGCTTGGAGGGTGGCACTGAAACGGAAGAGAGGGCCATTTGGCTTCAGAAAGCGACGACGGCGTCCTGCAGGGCGAAGGAACCGGAGCTCACCTATGACGGTCAGGTTGACCTTGACGTTGCGGGTGGGCGAGTTCCGGAAGTCCACCCGGCAGCGGTACAGGCCCTCGTCGCTGACGGACAGGTTGTCCACGACCAGCTCGGCGGGCGTGGTGGCGGTGCGGAAGAAGGCGCGCGTCCCGAAGGCCTCCGTGGCCGAGTACACCAGCTCCTGCCCCACCGGGCGACCGCGGCCGTCGAAGCTGCGGGCAAGGAAAGGCTGAGTCAGGTTGCGGCCTCGCGGGGACGGTGGGGACGCATTCCGCCAAGTGCGCCAGTAAAAAGGCTCTCTGCGTGTGTGGACACATGTCGCCGCGGGGGCGGGGCGTGGCGGGGCGCCGGAAGCCGCTTGTGTGCTCGTGCGCCGCGCCTGGCCCCGCCTGACCAGAGGCAGGGCGCGGGCAGCGCGGGCCGCGGCTTGCGCCGAAATGACTTAATCCCGGAGGTGCGGGCTCCGCCACTGCTCCGCCTGGCTCCGGCCGCGCCGAGGGCCCCACCGGCCCCACCACACCGCAGAACGGACGACACGGCCACAAAAGGGAACGACCAGGTCAATAATAGGGCGCCTGGACGCGGCCCGCGACGACCGGTCGCAATCCCCTCGCATAAGAAGACCAGTTCGCGAAGCGGCGGTGGCGGGAGAAAAAAAGCACAGAAGACGGAGAAAAGGGGAGCGGGGAGAGAAAGTGTTGCGGGGGGCGTGATTCCGACCAAACTGCGTTCTTCCATGCGTCTACGGCGGGATAATGGCGCCATAACAATGCCCTGACTGCCGCGGAGTGGGCACGGCCTGGGCAGCCAGGGCCTCCCCGCCACGGCCAAGGCAGCCGGGGCCGCCGGGCCGCCGGGGCCGCCAACGTACGGATGAATAATATTTTACTTCGGGTTGTAATCATGGGGTGGAGGAACACGGCTACGGCCACACACACACGCTCAACACACACACACACACACGAGCGGGGCTCCTCCCCAAACGCGGGCGCCTACCCCCACACATACACACATAGAAATAAAGTACGCGTGTTAAGTATACGGTGCCTCCCTGGCCGTTCCTTGCGTGCTGCGGCCCCACGCCGCCTGGCGCTCGCGGCTGAGAAAAATGCGGGCGGGCCCCATCGTCGAGTATTTTCGTTTCAGCCGCTCTCTCTCTCTCTCTCTCTCTCTCTCTCTCTCTCTCTCTCTCTCTCTCTCTCTCTCTCTCTCTCTCTCCCCGTGGAGGATTCAGCGACGACGCCGCGAGATGGCCCGTTCACTGTTAAAAACGTTACGGCAAATGGACAAAAATTTGCTTCATTTTCTCACTTGTAACAACAGTTTGACTATAGTGCCCTTTAAAATAAGTGACTCAATATTATTCCAAAGAACTAATTATTTTAAATTTTTAAGTCAATTTTACTTAAACTTGTTTTTACAGTGTTATGGACTCAACCGCGCTACCTGCAACATAGCTTGCTAGTTTGACTGCACAGCCGGTGCGAGGCATAATCATTTACGCAGCCCCCTAAAAAAAGGCGGCGTGGAACAGCTTCTTCATTGGGGCCTTTGAGGCGGGCCAAGTGTGTGCTTAATGCTCGCGGCGGGGCGGGCCACGCCAATGGAGCGTGCGATTTTATCCGCAGCCTCGTCAAACGGGACGGGGGATTGCGAGGCCACTTACGCGGGCATAAAACCACGTGACGCGAACACAAAACGGGTCCCTGCCTTTGACTCCCGTCCCGGGGGACGTCGCGTGGCGTGGCGCGGCGCGGCGTGGCGACGCGCAGCAGCGCAAAACGGGCGGCCTTGTATCGGAGTTTTTGGGACAAACCGCGCACTAACACATTGCGGTTCGAAGCGGCCCCAACCAGCGTCACATTGCGGTCCGAAGCGTCGCTAGCGAGGTCGAGTCAATAACATCCAAGGGAACGGCAGGCACTTTGCGGATGCAAGAGAGAGGCGGGGGCGCACCCCGTCGGCGGCCCCTACAAGCACCCCGCTGTGCCTTTTCGGCAGGTTTGCCGCCCGCTTCCCGCAGGCGACATCCCAGACGAGAAACAAGGAGAGGGAGAGGGGAAGCGAGGGGGACTTCACTCGAGCAGACACGTGTGAGAAGGGTGCGCGGGATAGAGCCGAATCCTACGCTACCCGTCAACGAAGACATTTTTTTTCGGAAGAGGTGACGGCGTAGGGAGACTGTCACAGAGTTTTTCCCCCTCGTCGTATAAACACAAACATTTTGAACCGCTTTGTAGAACAAATTCGTAAAATTAAAAAAAATCAAAATGTTTATGCGAACACAATGCCTGCCTGCACCCCATCGGCCATTCAGTGAAAGTAATAAATCCCTGAGTATTACACGACAAGAAAATCTCGTTCAGCGCGCTCAAGGAGGCTTTTACCCACTACAGTCATCGCGTCCATCCTACAGTGTAACAGGTGCGCGGCCGTGATGTGGGCCGGATTAGCGGACGACTGGAACTCGGATGAATACCTCATCACGAATGCATCCCCATCCCCATTCGGCAGGGGCCTGTTGCACTCCAGGTGGGTCGGGAGGGGAAACGGACTGAAACATCTGCAAGGTGCCAGAAAAACAAGGGAAAATAAAAGTAGAAACGTGGGAACCGCACGTTATGTTGACCCAGTTGGATTCCTCTGCGATACGACCGCGCGCGCCAGTTTCTACTTTCGGCTTGTCGATGCTGGGGAGGTGGTGGAGGGGTGCAGCCCCCCCCTCCTCCGCCCCCAAAAGTAAGTCGGCCTGACCTAAATTATACATAAAATCTCCATTTATGTCTCCGTTACTCAGGTGGCAGCCAGGGGCGTGGCCCGCGCGGCCCGCCAGTGGCCCGCGCGACCACATTCCGTCCATTCACGGCCGCGTGATTTAGGCAGCCATTACGCCCTCCTCGCTCGCCCCGCGCTTTTCACTCAGGATGGCAAAAAAAAAGAAAGAGTTGCTGGCGAGAACAAACATTTTTGGTTGGCCCGTGGGTCGGGATGGCTCAGTGTAAATTAACCAGCCACAAAAGGAAGAGCGCGAAAATGCTGTGAGTCGATACGTCATCAGTTCAACGTTCATAAAAAAAAGTTTTTGGATGAATCTCCTCTTTTGGCGTTTTGAAACTGGGGGAAACATAGCTAACTTGCTCGCCGATTTTGATTCTCATTGTCGAGGCCCCGAACGCGCTCCCAGCGCCAGCACCGCTCTGCCGAAGACTCAAAGACGCGTCTGGCGGTCCGGGGAATTAAAGGTGAGCGGGATAACACAGCAGATAGCCACTTTTCAATTACCATTTAATATCCCTTGTTTGCCCGGACCGCGCCGCGCCGCCCGCCCCGTCCGTGTGCGCAGCCGCGGCGCCGCGTTGCGCTACCAAAAGGCAATGAAAGTTTAATTCGGCCGCGAGTTATTGAAGAGAATGAAACGGTAATTGTCCAGCGTGGAGTGAAGTGAAACGATCGTTTGGACAGGGGAGGGGGAAAACCGCGAAAGGCGAGGCGCAAAGGGAGAAACGAATCAAAGAACGAAAACGGGGGCCAGAAAAAGGAGGAGGATAATGAGACACTGTAGAAGGAGTGCGTGGCCCTGAAGCCAGTGCAGCAAAACTGTTAGCGGCATGGCCATCGCTGCGGCGGTCCTCAAGGTCATATCAAGGCCGCAGCTGGTCCCCACCGACGTCCGCTGCCTCCAAGTGCCTCACACCTCGCAGCAGCACAACGACCAGCAAAGCAGCCCCGCACCGAGTTATCCTCCCGTCGACTGACGAATAGGGTTCTTGCATTCGGACCAGTCCTTCATTGCACCACCGCCCTTGGGAGGTAGGCAACATGCCTTATTCATGTCGAGGATTTGCCATTCCCCGTGTTGTAGACCTCCCTCCCCACCCCCGGCACTCACTTGCAGACACGGTTTGCCCGGAACGCGCGCGGCGATACAGAAACTCGAGAAGCAAGTGTTTTCATCCCCCTGCCGCGCCGTGCCCCGAGTATTTTTTTGAAGGTTTACCTGTAGAGAGGCTCGCCCTCCGGGACGCCCTCGCTCTCCCTGAACCAGAGCACCATGTGGACGAAGTCCTCGGGTTCGGACGGCGTCACGTCGCACGGCATGGAGGCCTTCTTGCCCAGCAGGGCCTGCACCTGCAGCACGGGGACTGCAACAGAGAGAGAGAGCACGCGTTAGCAGCCGTGAATATCTAGAACAGAGAAAGGCAATCCCAATCACAGCAGCCGGCATTTCCCTATCGACTTTGTTTACGAGTAAAGCCGAGGGGGAGGGAACATGTAGGTGTGGAGGTGTTTGTGTCTGGCTGCCGCTGTGTGTGTGTGCTGGGAGCCAAGCAGGATCAAAAGAGAGAGGAAATGAGAGGGGTGGGGGAGCCACACATCGCCCCCTTACATTTCCATTTAGATGGCTTTATCAGGGAATCAACGCAGCATTGCCGGGACGACCAGCAACAGTACGTCATTAAGAGGATCATTGCAATTCCAGCCCGCGGGCTGAGGGAGGAGACACACAGACAGACAGGCACTAGGTAGATGGACGGATAGATAGAACACCAATTCAGAAACGACCACACCCAAAGGATGGATTATTACACACCGCAGTCACGGCACGGCTAGAAGGTCGTCGAGAGACGTTGCGAGCGTGGGGTGGTCGTGCAGGTCGGTGTGCCTCCAACGAGTACGCGGGCAGAAAGCCCCTGCGAAGTCGGGCGTAGGCAGCACGCTCCGCGCGCGTGCGTGCGCACTGCCTACCCGCCAGGCGCTCCCCGCCGCGGCCAAGCGGGCCGCAGAGGACGAGCGTCGCAAGCCCAAGGTGCCAGCCGAGGCCGTTGACCTGCACGCGGGTGCGTCGGAAAGTCAGCCGTAACGTTACGAAAAAAAAGGGTCAAGAAAAATCTTGATTAACGCACTGAGGTGGCCGTCGTGGAGGGTAGGGCACTTTGCCGCGAACGCAGCCACGCAGCTCTGAAAGGGAATTTTGTTCCAGGCCGGGCTTGCGCCGCTAGCGCGCGCACCATAGAACGCCGCGCACTCAGACGGACGAGCCAGAATGAATGTGCAAATGTGTGTAGTTGTGTGCGTGCAAGAAAGCGGGCGAGTGTGTAGCCGTGCCTTTCAAGACCGGCAGCAGTTCCATCTCAAATAAACCATAATCAGCAAGGGGGAGGCATCTGCAAGCGCACACGGATGGGAAAAAATTTTCGCGTGCTCGAAGAGCTTTGCAGTATTCGCGGAAAATTCGTTGGGCGCCAAAAAATTCACACGCGGGGCCGAGCGGACCACTTGAAGTCCGGCGGGCGGAAACCAAAAACAACAACAGCAACAAGAGGCGGGCCTGAAAGGCCTGAAAGGCACACGCCGGCCTAACGCGGCCGGTAATACGATTGCTGGCGGCAAGGTCGAGTGGCTGCCGGATGGGACGCGAGGAAAAGGGGGGGGGGAGGCAAACGGACACACAGGAAAAGACCGAGGCCCGGATTGAGTGGACCGAGGGGAAATTCGCAGATCAGCCCACGGACAAGGCATTCGTCTCAAGGTGGTTTCACGGTACTTTGCAAAATTTGGTGTCTTCCGGGATGCCCGTATCGATTCCCCCGTTGTGACAGACCAAAATAAAGATCCGCAGAAGCTCGAGACACGAGTGTCGTCACTCAAGAACCAGTTGCATCTCCCAGTCCTCGTTGCGGCGCGGCTGCCGAACCGACGGCTGCTAGCCCCGCGCTGCGAACACCACCCCTGTAATGGCGCACTTCGGGAGAAGTTTTGCAGCTTCCTGTTGCAGCCGTCGGGCCGCGACGGCCCGCGTCACTCTGTCGGGCCCTCGTCGCGCCGCGAGCACAAAGCCGGAACCCTCCGTCCCTCCGTCCCGGGCCAGCGCCGCCAGGGAGGGTGGCGGAGGGGCGACCCGGGCCATCACACAGGGACAACAGCTGCTTGTCACCTTGCCGGGAAACACTACAGTGCGCGGTACCATGTGGCCCTTAACGTGTGCGGCCGGAACAGCGCGAGTGTGTGTGCGTGCGCAAGAATATTCAGAGCGTGCATGTGTGTGAGAGTTTCTGCGAGTTCGGCCGCGCTCTAGCATGGATATGGATTTCCCTGTGTGTGAGTGTGTGCCCTTGGAAAGAGCAGCGACGCTAGGGCCCCGGGAATGTACTATAACTTCCAACATTTTCAGCGGGTAAGGGTGCCATAATCATTTTGCCTCCAATTGTACACCACGCCGCCGGCGGGGCCCGTCCGACACCCGCCCTTGAAGCTCAGGTGTGCCGGAGGACACCTGCACAGCCTATAGGGGGCTACTCTGCCTGCTCTGCGTAGCGGGGCCTAGAGCCAGCCAGTAACGGCGCTTGTGATAGCACGCGTATAATGCGAAAAAGGGGGAAAGGCTGTCATCAAAAAATCATCAAACTCGACCAGAAATGTTTGCCGCGCTTTCGCTGACCATCGCATTACGCCCACGTTTTAAAACAGTTTTTCTTTTTATGGACCTCTTTTTTGAAACAGGGACACTAGTCGCACGTCAGTCATGACGCACGCGTCATCAAACGTCCCGGTGTGTGTCTCTGCCGCTGACGCGAAACCAAACACGGTGTACGGGCGGCCTGGTTCCACAATTTTTACAAATATTTTCCCGCAGAAATACAGAGTCTATTTTGGAGCTAGAGGGCGGTGCTTTAACCGCGCGTTTCGCGTCACGGCAGATCGCATTTCGACCTTAGGCGGCGCTGGCTGATGTATCGAACGACGGACTACACGACGTCTGGGAGGAGCGCGGAGTTCAGGGCGCAGAACCGCGTTTGACGATGAGGCACGCGTGGCCGACACGCACGACACTGCTAATTACAGCGTGTAATTAATAATGAATAATGTATGCCAGGGGCCAACCGGTTTATGATGAGCACTGCGTCACGGGGCGCGGCGGGGCGCGGCGTGGAGCGGCGTGGCAGTGGGGTGCGGCGTACAGCCAGCGGGTATAATAGGCAGTGGCTGCACCTTAATACCCGCCAGTTCGATTCGGAGCTACGCGAGGCTAGGGCCACGAGGGCCGCGCCGCCGCGCCTCCTACCCCTTTCCTTGCACGCGATGGCTCGGCTAGCCTCCGACCCCCCAAGTCTTATCGGCCTGTAATTTTAATTTTAGCTTTTCCGCGGGGGGTAGGGGGCGGGAGAGCAAGGCACTAGGCACACTGGAAACATTGTGACGTCTCTCGGACAGACGCAATAATGTCCGAATGGCGCGTCGTAACATTGTGACACAAGCGCGCACCGTGCCGTTTCGGGCGGCCATTTTTGCTGTCCCCTCGTTGAAAAACGCGTTTCCACGAGGCGCTGGCCGCCGGCCCGCTGGGTGTAAACGAGTGGAATGGCAGACTGGCCAGACGGACAGTGCAGTGGAGGGGCGGCCGGCAGCATTTCCGCTTGTTTGGAGCGCGTGGGGGGACCTGGTCGGGCAGGTCAAGCCATCCGAATCAGTGCAAGGTCCGGCCAGGCGCGGCCAGGCACAGCCAGAGACCGAAATAGCGGACTCTGGACCGTCGCTCTTTTTCCCTCCCTCCGCCACTAACCCTCCGTAAAGAAAGCACTGAACCTCTTCCGGGACGCTAGACAAAAAGCGTGAGCACACACTGTACGGACTGCGCACCCCGACGTCTCCACTCCAGGCAAGTGAGGCGCCTTTACGTCTGCGGCATACGGTCATGTTTATGAGCACGGCCGGAGGGGAGGGGGAAAGAGAGGGGAGGGGGAGTTGTTTGCCACACCCTGACCAGCCTTTCAGCATACCTACCGCAGCACATCCCAAACACGAGAAAACGCATACATGTTTGCTTTTCACGTATGTTACGAGGGTGTGTGTGAGCGCGCGGGCGTCTGTGTGCGTGTGTGTCGCAATGCAGAGAGTGGCCACATGTGTCTCGGGGTCCCCGGCCGCCCTAATCGCTATTCTCTTTCCCTGTTGCTCTCTTTCTTCCGCGAGGTGGACGGAGGGGGAGGGGGAGAGGGTCAGCGGACGAGATTGGTGACCGGGTACCGCGCGGAAAGGGTTGTTTGCGCTCACGGTGTCGCGGCGATTGTGAGAGGCCAGGGTGAAATAATTGAAAAGTGCGCGATCGGGGCCTGCCCGTTGCACGTAGGTGGGCGAATGAGAGCGTGCATTATGCAGTCACGAGGGTGGCACCTCGGCGATTCAATTCGCTGGCAAGCGTGCTGGAAAAAAAAAACTTGCCTTGTTCTCGGAGGTCGCGGAGCGCAACTCAGCAAGCCCTGCTAACCCAGTTGACACTGGCTCGCAATAAAAAACGAGGGAACCACATCAATTTGAATTGGTTAGTAACCGAGATCACGTATCGACGTTTCCCGTTCCCCCTATACAGCACGATAAAGACTTTTGTTTCTTGTTTTCCCCATTTTCGTGGCGGCGTGATGCACGCCCCGGGCGAAACACGATTATTTAAAAGTAATCTACAGAGGTGCACGCCGAGCGTCCCGTTCCGTCCCGTTCGTGCGGCGCGGACATCTTGATTCCTCTTCACGCGGTGCATAAGCAAAAGTGGCAGCCATGCAAGCGCTCGAGCCAACAGAACACTTTTTATTTTTCCAAACACTGCACCCACTTTCCGCAGCGTTCAATACAACTCGTTGTCGTGAACTCCCATGAGGTCTCGTCCATTGTCGTGCCGATGGGGCAAAGCCGATAAACGATTCTGTCCCGAGAAAACAATTATTGAGTTGGTTGACTTCCGGTTTGCAGCATGGCATGCGTTGTTTGGCCTCTGTCACACTTGATGGTAGGCGTGTGTGCCCAGCCATCAGCAAGTAGCAAAGTAAGTGCGCCGCAAACAAGCGTGCGGTCAGCGCCACGGCGCCGCCATGCGGCCCTCGCCACAGCCCCGCAACTCGTCGCCGGCAGCCGGCCACTTACGGCCCTGTGCCGGCCCCCCTTTTTCCAGGCAGAGACTGCTGCAGGCTTGTTTGAGTTAGGCCTTCCACACACGCTAAGCCCCCCCGCCCTGGACGCCCCCTCGCAGAGAGGGACGCGCGCCTAACAGGAGGGGGAGCGGGTGGATAGTTTGGATGGGAGACCATTAGGTGGACAGTGGCTGGCTAAGGGCTCACCAAGGGCTCGGTCGCAGGGGCCAGGGGTGGGG